GTATCGAATCAACTGAGATATAAATACTCCGTATGCAGGTGATGAAGGTATATTGCTGCATAAGTAAGGGAAGTTGACGATAGAAAAGTTAAAGTCATCACGTTTATCATATAGCTTGGTTGTTAGATTACAAGTAAATCAAATTAAACAATAATGAATGCAATGGCAACTGAAGAAGGAAAAGAAAACTAAGTGTTATTTTGATCGAAATGAAAAACCGCACGTTGAAATGATAAAAAATGCACTTTTCAAATGTTTAGATGCGCGGTTTTTCATATAATGGTTTTCCTTAAACAATAACACCTGCCTACTTTCAACTACTTTCTGCTTACTGCGTGACACCTTCTCACCACATGAAACTATATTTCTTTTTTATCCCCCCCCCCCCCCCCCCACATATCCACACCGAATGGTTCTTTTTTTACACGGGGGCATATTTTTGTAAACCGAAAAAAAAAATAGTTATCGTCATTTTTATTAAGATAACATATTTAACAATAGTTTAACATAAAGAGAGTCACTAAACCATGGGTATTTGAAATTAAGGTATGTAAAAAAAACCGCATTTAACCCTACGATATATTGCATTTTTGCATTGGCTGACAATGTCGTTGTATCGACCATAGATCTAACAAAATTATGATTTCATCAATCTGATTGATAGCATATTAACATATTTTACGTGCCAGGAAAACGTTTTCCTGGCACATAGAATATTAAAATCGTGAAAAAGCCTGGAAAACATAAGATTTTCGGACTAATGTACAGCATTCTCTTGTGTATCATAACGTTACTGTTATCTCAGTATGACATAATCTCAAAAGATTTTTTTTCTGCAGACGTTTTGCTGCGAACATAAAATAATTATGTATAAAGATGCGACATGACACCTTTGAGATACAGGGAACCGACTGCAACAATATAACATGTATAGGTGTATTTCAAAGAACTTAAATCGATTAAAGATGAAAAAAGGTTAAAAGGAATCACTGTCTAGTTATTATAGTATGCCAGGACATGAACGATAGTCGGAGACATGGGATAATTTGCATAACGGGCGAAGCACTATTGTTGAAAAATAATAACAAACAAAACAACAAAGACAAAACCAAATATTTTATTATATTGTATTACTATTGTACGGAAGCCCATTTAGGACCTATCAAAATATTTTTGAATTCGTTATAACGATTTTTAGAATTCGTTATAACGAATTTAATTTGTTATAACAGATTTTTAGAATTCGTTATACACCCATTCTCAATATAAGGGCTCAAATAATGTCGCCTCATTTTCATTTAGAAGAAATACCACTGATGTAATTTTTAAATCAACATTATAAATAGTCATATAACAATGAATAAGAATTCATATAATTATCGATCTGAAAGGGTATTTAAGGAGTTCCAAATTCAAATATAGTAGCCTATTTGAAATGTACGTTACTGTCGCCGAGGCAAATATTATGCTGAATCCCCTCTGTGTAATATATAGTTTTGATTCTCAAGTAAAAATTTTCTGATAAGTTAAACGTTGTATCACATATATTTCTTTTTATAACAATAAATACATTTTCTTTGTGATAATAAATAATTTTTATTGTGCAATGTCCCTGTCGCTTAATTCTATTTCAACCACATTACAAGCAAACACAAAGATTATACACCTGATAGTTTTGTTCTCCTTTATTTATTGATGGGCTAAATTTGAAATTTCAAAGGATTAATTACTCCTACTTAGATAATGTAATATGAAATTGAACAATTTGAGCAATTTTTATAAATATGTTTACGGAATGAAAGACATTTTCAATCGTAGAGATAAGAAAGAAATATATGTTACCTATATTCTACCATTAAGAATATATATTAAGTAGAAAATATGAGACGACTTGAATAAGCAACCCCTTGTATCCCGTAAACTGGCAAAGACGTTTTGCTTAACACAATTAAAAATTATTTTTTACATGAAAATTAATCATTTGAAATGTACGTGACTGAAATGTACGTTACCATAAAATTCGAATTAAGTGAATTTCGCACGAATTTTCATGTATTCTCGTACTTTCGCACACTCGAATGTGTACACAAAAAGGAAAGTTTTAAAGGTTGGAGGTCGGCTAAATCCCAAAATTAATGAAAAGAAACGTTTCTGCTGAGGAAAAAAAATATATATTAAGGTCAATTATATGTAATATAATTTTGATACCTGGTATATATTTCTGAATACGAAACCTGTATGATGCATTTCTTATAATATGCAAGTTCAAATAGTATCAATATATTGCGTATGGTAACGTACATTTTGCGTATTTCTAACTAACATTTAGTCAATGAATTGCGTTTACACGAGCGAAACAAAATTATCGTAACAATTCATTTGACAACTGACCACATAAATCCAAATGCACCCCCAATCCTCGTAAATGTGGTAGACTTGTTACCACATGCTAGAAAATTTATTTCTAAGTGTCTTAAATTCATCTTTGGCAACCTTTTTGCAGTTTGTTTACTTTTAATATGCGATTTTTCGTCAATATTAATTTAATTGTTGTTGATAATGTAAAACAAGGTATGCATAGGCTTATAAATGGTAAAAAAAAAAACAAAAAAAAAAACAACAAACAAACAAACCCAGAACACAAGACGGTCTCGTACATTTCTAATACTGAAAGGCACACAATACTCAGTTTTGTTTGAATCATTGCATTTTGGGTTATATTTTTCCAGATCTGCTGAAAAGCACGTATGTTTGTGTTTTGACAAACGATGTTGCAACATACTAAATGAAATTGTTAACAAAACTGTCGATGGATATATTCGGAATAGATTTATGTTAAGTTTCAATGGCCAAACACGAGCATTTGTTAGATCATTGCAAAATACGTCTGACTCTTTTTTTTTTTTTTTTTTTTTTGTCTGTACCCTTGCACACAGGTAGAAGTAGCTAGGCTACGACCGGTGTCAATTTCAGCGAAACAGCACAAAAGAATGGTAATGAACTGAAGTGGAGTGGACTCCCCAATAATATGCATGTGAAATGAACGTTACCGAAGTGACGTGACATTCATGTAGTTGATGACAAATAACCTCGTTTGTTACATTATGATTTCTTATATAACTGCGTAAAAACGCTTCATTTAAATGATTTTTATGTCAATAATTACTTTTTTTCAATATTTTCTTATTACTAATGTATATATTATTACAAGCTTGAAATGTACGTTACCTACTCATATTCTGAAGCAATCGTGTCTTTATAGTGGTGATTGTGACATATAACACAATGTGATTACATAGAGAATCTATTTTGGAATAAACTGAAACAAAACGAGAAATTTTTAGATGAATTTTAAGCTTTTTATTAAACAGAAATATATCTTGAAATGTACGTTATATTTACGTAGTTTTCTAAATCGGCATGGATGTATGTTAAAAAAGACAGTAACTACAAAATAGAATTTTACTACATGTACATGTTAAGTTCCAGTATCTATAGAAAATGACAAGATTCCAAACTGATCGCTCTAAACAAAACAGAGAGAAGAATTTAAAGCATATATATATAAAAAATGTTTTTATACATTTGGATCAAAAAGTAACCTTTGTTTTTTGAAAGGAAAAATCAAACGCACGTTCGTATGCCGAGAAAATATGTTGCTGACAGAGTTGGTAGGATGTGCTGGTGTTAAGATGAGATATTCCAATTGTGATTTTAATGACTACATTTTTTTTGACATATCTTTTTGGACATTGAAGAAAGAGTAACGTACATTTCAAGCTACATTTCTGAATAAAATCACCCTCTACTTTATCGTCTTGTCATTATTCCATGTATTAAAATTTGCTGAAAAAAATCTGGAAACAAAATCTTCAGATACTTTCTTTCAAAGGTAATTGATAGAAAAATTGTTATCTTGAACTTCATTTTTTAAAAAATCAGAGAGGCATTTGTGCCCTTATATTGAGAATGGGTGTATAACGAATTTAATTTGTTAAAACAGATTTATTGAATTCGTTATAACGAATTTAATTTGTTATAACAAATTTATTGAATTCGTTATAACGAATTTAATTTGTTATTACAGATTTATTGAATTTGTTATAACGAATTTCATCTGTTATTACAGATTTGTTGAATTCGTTATAACCAATTCAAGAATTTGATTAGAACGAATTCAACAAATCTGTAATAACAGATTAAATTCGTTATAACGAATTCAATAAATCTGTTTTAACAAATTAAATTCGTTAAACGAATGCAATGAATCTGTTATAACAAATTAGATTCGTTATAACAAATTCAATAAATCTGTTTTAACAAATTAAATTCGTTATAACGAATTCAATGAATCTTTTATAACAAATTGAATTCATTATAATGAATTCAATAAATCTGTTTTACCAAATTAAATTCGTTATAACGAATTCAATAAATCTGTTTTAACAAATTAAATTCGTTATAACGAATTCTAAAAATCTGTTATAACAAATTAAATTCGTTATAACGAATTCTAAAAATCGTTATAACGAATTCAAAAATAATTTTGATAGGTCCTAAATGGGCTTCCGTACTATTGCAATACTATTTTGTTTTAAGACTTCATCCAGCTGTCAACTTATACACGTTCAGTATAAACTTTCACTAAAGGAATGATTCTTATACAGTCGTTCATTTGTTTAGGACATCATAATATTTAGATGACAACACAAAACACTTTTATATAGGATTTTTATATTAAATAGCAAATAATCAAATTCACATTAGACAGAAACAATTTCGTTTGGCTGGGCTAGTGGGGGTCATTTACTTAAATAATAATCATATCTTCATAATCGTATCTCGAATTAACTATGTAGATAAAGAATTATCAAGCTCACGTCCATTTAAACAATGTGTGCTCTTTGTCATCATTACTCGTACTTAGTCATCTGCCCCGTCAACTTTCGGTTTTGATTTCGGTTCAGAACTGTTCTGCGAAATAAGGCTTGTTTGAGTTACCTTAACCACTCATACTACGTTGTTAAAAAATACTTCCGGATTTGATCATTAGTTAACGGGATAACATGGATCGAAACGTCGCCTCGTGCGACTCAGATGGGGACAATGAAGTGTTACAGAAAAAACTGATTGATGCAGTTAAAGATGGAACCATTGAAAAAGTTACAGAGATATGCATGTCTCTTCCAACGAACTTTAATATGAACAGTGTTTTTGAAAAACCATATTACGGAGCCCGAAAAGGGACACCATTACTTCATCTTGCCTGCAGTGCTAGAAACTCGGGGGAAATTTTGATAATACTAGTTAAGTATGGCGGAAGTCTGTGGTCGAACAAACTAGATGGTTTAAATCTTTTTCATTATGCCTGCAAAAAGAGAAACCTGGAGGCTATTCAATTTATTCTGGGCGAGTGCCAGGATGTGTTTTACCTTCATACTCTATCAGAAGATGGCTATGATGCCCTCTTTTACGCAATAGAATTCTGGAAGAATGATCCAGAGGAAGGGAAAAAAGTTATTGAACTCCTTCTTCTCCAAGGAAGATTTAATATCAATCGATTTCGAAAAAACGGGTCAACAGAAGTATTGAAGGCTGTTGTTGAAAACAGATGCGAGTTAGCCTCAATGCTCTGCAAGCTTGGGGCGGATGTGAACCTTGGATACCATTCGTCTAAAAAGGCAATTCACTGGGCAAGCGAACAAAGTGGTTATCATGACATGATACAAATACTTGTAGACCATGGTGCAAATAAAAACGAAGTTTGGCGCCACTGTCAACGACCTATACATATGGCTCTTAAACATGGTTTAACTAAAAATGCAGAAGTTTTGCTCCGATCAGGAGTTGATATTTCTGGTTCAGTACGGCTAAATAACCCAAAGTACTTATGGATTTCAACATTTTGTCTTGCTGCTAGGCGATGTCCTTCGCTAATTCCAGAGTTTCTAGCTCGCGGTGCTAACCCTAACGAAATCCACTACACAAGTGGATTATCAGTGCTTGGATTTGTCATAGAAAATGGAGGCAAGAGAGAAGCGATAAAATCCCTAATACAAGCAGGCGCTGATATTGCAAAAGGATGTAATGGAAAATCTGCTCTCCAAAGTTGCAACAACTTAGGTATTTTATTCTTGTCCTTTTTTATACTCAGATATTAAGAAAAAATTTATAATTTAAATCAATATCGAAATGTAACGTAAAACCTCATCCTGATATGGATCATATTGTGTCACATATGTATAAAACACATATTGATGTAGAAGAAAATGTACCATCCTACCCTTGATATATGGTGGCAAACCATTTCTACCCCCTACATGCAAGATATATTAATGATCATCAGCTGATCATGAAAACATGCAACATGATAATAATGCCTATATGCAAAATAAATATGATTTTATGCAAGTTACCCCTCTTATTGTAAAAAATATAATTTAAATATTGGTAAAATTACTAGCTTTCGACTGTATCTGGCATCATACATATATGATGCAGCAGTATAAGGAAGACATGAAACTTATTTATGTCAACATGCAAGATAGATAAATACGTTTATTTGCGATCGAGTTTATTATCTCAACATGCGAGATATGTATGATGACGTCTGACGTATTATCTTGCATTTGACATAAATATCTTGAGTTTTAAAATATAATTCGCATGTTGATAAATTATACATAATTTGCATGTTGACATAATGAAGTTACATGCCTACATAATGGCAGTGCATGTTGACATAAATAAGTTTCATATCAACATAATTACATGCTTCGTCGGAAACCCACGGGTGATCTCGTCTTTACTTATCACCCGTGAGCAAACTCGCCGAAAAATCGTCGTATGTAATTAAATATGCATGGGCCATTTGATTGGCCGCATCACAGATTGGCGATGCAAAACAACGAATCACAGTTCAGGCATGTTCGGCATTGCCAAAAACATTAAAAACTCATTCCGTAGTTAACACAGCTGATAAATCCACTCACCGGTGCATTTTGCAGTTAAAAAGAGGTACTCCTTCATAATATCTGGCGTATACTAATGTCAGTGACCTGTACGAATTGAGTTTCATTGTTTTAAATCAAACTGCGCACTTACCATAAATAGCAAAGTAATAAACGTATTTTTAAAATTGAAGAGTTCCAACTTTCTGATTGGTTGACTAAAAACAACAAATTAGCATATTTTACGGCAATATTTCAGCGAGTTTGCCCACGGGTGATAAGTTAAGACGAGATCACCCGTGGGTTTCCGACGATGAATTACATGTATGTTGCATCTTACATGTATGATATTAGACAATGGCATTAGTAAATAGATTTATCTACATGTATATCAAAATTATTTTCTGTAATAAGTTTGCGTCGCCCGCATGGCGCAGTGGTTAGAATGTCTGCTTTAGAATCGCGAAGTAAGCAGTTGATCATTACGTCGCGGCTTCGAATCCTACTGTGGGACGTGGAGACCGGTCCTTCAGATGAGACTGCATACACCGAGGTCCCTTGTCGCTGTAGGTTCTGGCACGAAAAAGACCCCCCCCCTGCTCAATGGCCCTGATTGCCGAGTATAGGACAGAAATTGTAGCTCTGCACCGGCTAGTGATGGCGTCTCCAATTGAGTGAAAATTTTTATTAAACAATATTCAATCAATTTTGTAAGATCGGTAACTTTCATTTTCACATAATTTTCTTGCATGCAGACATGCTGACATATTGATCTTGCATGTAGGGGCCAGAAATATGCCACCATACTAATATACTGGTTTACAAATGTAAAGTAAATGTAAATTTGTGAGAAGTGTTTTTAACCTTTGATTTTGTTTAATTTACTAGTAAATTGCAATATTAATGAACTGAAAGTTACTTTAATAGAAATTTCTTTGAATTCTGTCAAAATTTTACTTCTAATATAGTCTTGGTCTGATTTATTAAGTCTTGGTTTAAGTAGACAATACTGTGATACTTAGATACTTAATTTATTTATCCATTTTTGAAAGAAAATATCTTGCTCTTGTTACTAAAAGAAATTTTAACGAAAAAATATCCTTTTAAAACAACAATTAAGGTAACTTTTTCATGGATATTCATCTGCGATCAACATACAGCATACACTAATAATTACAATTTTTAATTTAACTATGCGAATTTCAATGTTTAAAAAAAAGCTTGGATTATAAAATAAACCATTTTATGAGACATAGTATTTTACTGATTTATTTTCCCATGCAAAGAGTAAAGCTAGTCTCTTCAATGAAATCTGGTTAATTAAAAGTGTTCTGTTGTACAAGTATCCCCTTGGATATTAAACTAATACCGTGTAATAATTGTTCAAATGTCTTAAATATGTTTCAGATTCCAAACCTTAATTAAAGCAAGTACACAAAAGACAAAAATTGCTAACGCAACACTTGTTAATTTTTACTTGTGAGTTGCAAATAAGCCGGATCGGTATTAGTGTACATGTATATAGTTTGCCATTATTTCTAAAAAGAATGGGATTGACAAATGTCTTGGTATTAAAAAAGACCCTTGAATGGCCTTCTTGTCCGAAAACCTATTTCAAGCTATGCACTGCGCACCATTTTTGCTTAGATTTGACATTAATATGCCATATTTTTTTAGTAAAGTACAATGTCATTTAACACATTTATATATCAAATACATCATTACTAGGCGATATGAGAGTCAATGACTTTTCATTATTTGATTAATAATTGGGGGACTACTCCTGTGGCAACCTCACAGACCACCTTTAGTGATCAAGAATTTCATACTCGTATCTTTAAAAATGCATTAAGTCTTCGAAAATCGTCTTCTCTGTTCCTGAATATTAAATAAATTAACAAGCACATTATATGGTGAGCAAGAATGCCTCTTTCAAAATTGTGAATTTTTTTAGCCCTGTGGTCAGGGATTCTGGTGTAGGGCCAGGCTATATAGAATTTATAGTGAAAATGCAGAAATTCTTTGAAAATCGTCTTCTCTGCTTCTGGGTATTAAACAAACTAACTGAATACATAGTTATAATAAGCTAGAATGCCTCTTTCAAAATTGTGAGTTTTATGGCCCAAGGATTAAGGGTTCTCATTAAGTCAAATGCTGACAGACGTTTTTCATACTAATTGTTAGTCCATTATTTATACACTGAATTGACGACGGATTTTTCCGTTATTTCCCGATGATGACAAGGAGCACACGGCGAGTGTGACCGGTCAGCGGGGGATGCTCACTCCTCCATGGCACATGATCCCACCTCTGATGTTTCGGAGGTCCGTGTTTGCTCTGCTCCTATTTTGTATTGTTTTATGGACTTTGATATTGAATACTGTTCGCTATCTCCATATCCTTCATGGAGTAAGTGAACTTACCTCTTTTCAACTCCAACGGCAAGTGGTGGCGTCTCCATATGAGTGAAAAATTCTTCATGATTAAATATATAGTGAAAATACATTAATTCTTTGAAAGTCGTCTTCTCTGCTCCTGGGTATCAAATAAACTACGTACATAAGTGATGATGAGCAAAAATGCCTCTTCCAAAATTGTGAATTTTATGGCCCCAGGATCAGGTTTTATGATGTTAGGACGGGGCTCTATTGATTATATAGTTTTATATAGTGAAAATACATTATTTCTTTGAAAACGTCTTTTCTGCTCCTGGCATGGGTATTAAACCTACTACGTACATAGTTATGATGAACAACAATTCTGCTTTCAAAATCGTGAATTTTATGGCCCCAGGAAGAGGTGTTCTGGTGTTAGCGCGGGGCTCTATTGATTATATAATGAAAATACATTAATTCTTTGAAAATCGTCTTCTCTGCTCCTGGGTATTTAATAAACTAACTAAGTACATAGTTATGATGAGCAAGAATTCCTCTTTTAAAACTGTGAATTTTATGGCACAAAGGCGGGGAGTTCTGGTGTTGTTATGGGGCTTTATTCATCATATAGTAAAGATATTAAATATCCTCTGCTCCTGGATATTAAGCATATGAACTACCTATATTGCTATGATAAGCAAGGGCCCTCCTTCTTCCAGAATTGTGACTTTCAAGGCCCCTGGGTCAGAGGTACCATGTAGGGGGGTCTCATATGCTGCAAATGAATTAATTGTTTGAAATCTGCTCCTTGGTATTAATGAAACATTTTTTTTTATAAACAAGGGTGCCTTTTCCAAAATTGTGAAATGTGTGGACCTTGGGTCAGGGGTGCTTCTTTTCTTTTTGTCCATTAACTTTTCACATTTTTGACCTTTTCTAACGAATCACTGGGCCAATTTCAACTTGGGCCAAAATACAAAATACCTTTGTTTCCCCTAACGCGACCGACCCAATTAAATCGCACCGACTGAAAAGATTTTTTAAATAAGAAGATTCAATTATTTTTTTTTATTGTTAACTAAGTTTCATAAAATACAGTTTCATCAAAATCAGTTTTCAGCAGAACGGCCGACATTGTTCTACTGTGATTTGTTGAAGAAAATCGCGCCAAGATGTGATTACTGAGAAAAAATTCTTAATAAAACAACGGCGACGTCTCAATCTTATGCCTTTAGCTAACTAGAATTCTTCACTCTTGAAACAATTTGATAGTAAAATTTACCACGACTAATTAAGAGTGTTTCGGAGGTGTCTTGGCCTCTTCATGTGAGTGCTTTTAATCCCTTCGAAATTTGTTTGGACGACATTTGAACATTTCCTCATTGCTCCAAATTAGGACGTACTCAGCACTTTTTTGCCATTAAGGAGTAAGGGATCTTTTTTGAGCCATCAACTTTAGCGGGACTGGACATAAGTTTTATGGTTCTTTTTGAAAGACTGTTTTCAACGTTCCTTATTGGTATTTTGGACCTGAATTAGACACTTCTTATCTCTAAAGCAAAATGCTCTAGAAACACTGCAAATCTGATGGCCCTCAGAAAGTTCATTGATTGTCTATAACTAAATTGGAACGTATTTTCAAAGTTGCTGTCATAAAATAAAATTGTTCACCTACCTACCGACCCGACTTGAGAATTCAGGGTCGGGTTAGGGGAAACAAAGATATTTTTAATTCCGGCCTTGCAAAGAAGTATTTGGCGAGAATTCTTTTTTACAATAAAAGGCAACGCTTTTTTTTCAAGGTTAGATCATTATGAATTAGCAAAAAAAAAAAAAAATGAAATTTATTGAAATCATCCTCTGGTAACTCAGATTCAAGCCTCGTCACAACATGGAAGCAGAGGTGTACACTATGCATACGAACAGTAAAATTTGATTAAAAGTACAAATTATTTTTGGAAGGGTAAATTCATTCCATATGCTTCTGTCCATGTGTTATTTTTTTCTGTTTTGCTGACTGTATTTTGTCATAGTAACGGTTTAACTTGTTCAATGCCGAATTGTGCATTATGAATATGTATATAAATATATTAAACTCTTTTTTTTTAGATCAAATACTTGCATTTGTGGACGGTTCAATACCCCTGAAAACCCTTGAAAGTGAACTTGACACAAATCTCTTAAAAAGAGTTTTATTAGAAGACTACTCTTCCGAAGAAGCTGTGGTTGAAGATGCTAAACTTTTATTATCAAAAGGTGCTGCTTTAGATGACCCACGAAATGGTACTATTTCATTTTTGTTTCATCACGTAGAGAAAAGAAACTACAAAGTTGCAGAATTTCTCATCGAAAATGGGATAAAAATAAATCAAAAGAAGAAAAATGGAAACACAACTTTACATATTATCTGTAAAATGGGTACGTTTAATTAGAATGAAGCTGCATGACATTCTTTTTGAGATATGTTTAAATCAATGACAAGTAGAGAAGATAACGAACAGTGATCAATTTCATTGAAACTTTAAACAAAACAAATTGAAAAAGGCTTAAATACTTACCCCGAAAAATCCCAGAGGTGGGATCAGGTGCCTAGGCCATGCGCCCTATCGTTTACGTACCGGTAGACGATTGATAAAGCAGGTCATTAAATCACGAACAGCTGTGTCATTGTTATTTATAAAGGATTTTAAAAATAGTTCGTAGTCTAATATATACTCTTCCAGAAAAGATACGCATTGTTCTATTAAAGTGACACATTTGAACATAAACATTATTTAGTGAAATGACGAAATGATAATAGAAAAATGTGTTTTTAACAAAAGATCTACAATATTAATGTCATAAGTACGCAAGAAATTTAAAATTATAGACAGTTCAAGGTCATGAAAGATCATTATCAAGTATACCCCTCTCTACAAATGATAGCCTAAAAAGGTATTTAATGGAGGCAAGTGTGTGTAATAAAACTGTTTAGGAATACTCTCCCACTCTAAATTTAATTTGGTCAACCAGAGTCTTGGGATGCGATTCTCTTTGGCAAATCATGCCAATCGATGCTTCAATATTGGAAAATTGTGATGGTAGAACATCAATAGAGTATTTTTTTCAATATAAGTCGTTTGAATATGAACCAAATCAATCTTTCTTTTATGTAATACCGTTAACCATATCAGTACACAGCCATCACAAAAATTATCAATGTCCTTGAGGCAGTTTTCTGTAAAACGTTCATTACGAAGCTTATGCACTCTTAAACTTACAACAGACTTTGCAATACAGATGCAATACAGATGCTGGACTCGTAGCTAAACCAAAATGGTCAGCGGTGTTGTTTTGGCCAAACTCTGTTGATATAAGATCTTTGAAGTCGATATTTGGGGTGTTGTGAAATCAGAACATTGGCTTAAATAATCCTCCGGCAATAATTCTAGCATTAATTTATGTAGTCAACTACAAACGATCTTGTTAGATGTTCTACGCAGTTTAGGGATACCTAATGCTGTATATGACGTCATTGTGAAATGTTCATTAAAATCACGTGATCCACTTAATAATTTAAAAGCGATCCTGTGCTGCAGATGTCACGCGTGGTCTTTCATATATTTGACGAACATGAGGTGTTCCATGCTAATGAATACTAATGTCTTGTTTTCAGTGTACTATTTCCTTTTTGAAATATACAACATTCAGATGCAACAATAGCGTCAATTTTCAAATATACCAAGAATCAAAATATCGAGAATCCCAGATTTTGATAGACTAAGTCCTTTTCTGCCTGTAGGAATTGCTTTGAAAATAACGCATTTACCGAATGATCATATCCATCCTAAAGAAATTGTATGACAAACTATTTCATATTTTTCAGGGTATTGTTACTATTATGAGTTTCTTTTTTGAAGAGTATACTTTCTATTATATGATTTTTCATTGAATCTGTGTAACGTGGTTGAGCCAGGCTATCTCCAAATAACACTCAAGACAGTTCCAATTAACGAAATTTATTTACAAAATGAAAGAAAAAAATATTTACAAAATCACACTAACATTCACACGCACTTTCACACCTCTCTTTCACATATAATTGTACGGGGAAAAAAATCAATAAACCTTATAACTTGACAGACAGACTGACAGACTAAATGTTTCTTTATAAAATTATATCTGATTATAATTTATATTGTTGCCCTGTAAAGTTCACTTGCACAGTCCTTTATATCTACGTTTGCCACAATCACGAACTCTAAGTTCTAACTCCTTTCAGATCGACTTATCTGAATCTCAACATCAAAAGCTTCAGCTTAGGTACATCAATCGTCCGATCGCTTCCTGGGGCTGTAGTCCCGGAACTAATGGAAAGGCGATGATAAACCTCAGAAAGCTTGATTGTATTTGTCCCATCTGGATCGTAAGCTCACTCAGCTAGTCCTCGTACTTCACCAACGTCATAACGCTACAATTTACAGGACTCATAAGTTTTCTAATAAGGCAACTTTAGGTGTATTTTTATGCTCGATATTTTTTTTTTTGTGAATTCTTTAAATGTATTGGGCGGAGGTGACAGCCGGAAGTGGTCGCCATATTGCTTTGAATTTACAATACATTGTATGCTTTATATCATAACTTGTTGAATTATGTAGACAGACATATTCCATTTATACTTTATCTAAATATTATATCATTAAGTGTTGCCATTATATTATGTTGCCTTATTAGATAGCACAGTCTTACGTCTCTTTGAACAATGGTTTAGGCCGGTGTATTTTAAGTTCATAGAAGGCTTCATAATGCAAATTTTGTAAATGCGAGCATAGAAATGAAAGATTATACATCATATTAAAAATTTCTTTCACAAATCTAAAAAAGAATTGAAAATAAGTTTCCGAGGGACAATTCAAGTTGCCCCTTATTTTCAACATAGCTGGGTACTTGTAGTAGCCCACAATGCATTGCGGCTCATTCACCCAGATAGCAAGACTATGTTGGGCCAACATTGGCAAAAGGTTGTATGGTTGGCGTTGGGGGAACAACGTTGGGCCAACGTTGGACCAATGTCACCATGCCAACCTTCTCGACCATGACAGAATTCCTATGTTGGCCCAACGTTGGTCCAACGTTAGCAACTTCCATTCACTTTACTTCCAAAGGAAGGAGGAATGTTGATGTTGGCCCAATGTTGGCCCACTGTTTGTAATACACCCTAAAAGAAAGTGTTTTTTAACGTTGGTAGTAGCATGTTGGCCCAACATTGGCCCAATGTTTGTAATACACCCTTAAAGAAAGTGTCTTTTAAAGTTGGTAGAAGTATGTTGGCCCAACGTTGGCCCAATGTTTGTAATACATCCTTAAACGAAGTGTTTTTAAAGTTGGTAGTAGTATGTTGGCCCAACATTGGCCCAATGTTTGTAAAACACCCTTAAAGAAAGCGTCTTTTAAAGTTGGTAGTAGTATGTTGGCCAAACGTTGGCCCGATGTTTGTAATACACCCTTAAAGAAAGTGTCTTTTAAAGTTGGTAGTAGTATGTTGGCCCAACATTGGCCCAATGTTTGTAGTATACCCTTAGAGAAAGTATCTTTTAAAGTTGGTAGTATGTTGGCCCAACACTGGCCCAATGTTTGTAGTACACCCTTAGAGAAAGTATCTTTTAAAGTTGGTAGTATGTTGGCCCAACGTTGGCCCGATGTTTGAAATACACCCACCCAGAAAGTGTCTTATCAAGTTGGTAGTAGTCTGTTGGCCCGACGTTGGCCCGATGTTAGCACGAGAGTTCTTTTGTTTAGGTGTTTCAAAGATGGGATATTTATATTGGGCCAACGCTGGCCCAATTATTATACTGCCAACTAAATGATGGGTGTCATTTTTAGTTGCTGAACATTACGTTTGGACAACGTTGGTTCTAATTAAGTTTTAATTTAGATGCACATTCTGAAATAGATAAGAGGACATTGAGTATGTCCATGCTTTTAATTGGATGACTGTTTTTGTTTAGATCTGATATTTTCAATATTTTAACTTTGAACATAAGTGATCACAGCACCAAAGAGTGTTTTATTATATTTTTGAATTGTGCACATGCATGCTTATTTATTTGAAATGAAACCATTGAAATAATGATTTCATGAGTGTTGTATTCATGAGAATTTAGAGAAGACTGAATAAGTTCTCAGGAACAGGATGTGAATGAAGCCTACATATACATAAATCAAAATGACACAGGTCTATAAATAAATTGAAACAAAAGTTAGGCGTTCGCTAAAGATTGAGGCGCGCGGGATCAAATTACACCAAACTCTGGAGTGAGCTGTCAGATTCAATTGCTCACAGGTGGTGGTACATGTAGACTGAAAATCCAGGGCAAGCATGCAAGAAGAAGTGAAATTTAAATTTGTGGATTATACACTTGCTATACAGCTGCATTTAGAAGCGATGTAAGTATATTTATTCTTAGTTATTCAGGTTAACTGTTAAAATTGATTCGGAATTCATTCTTTTCATGTTTTTGCACACAAGCACTGTAAGTTAAGGTTAAATATGTTTCTATCTAATTCTAAACTGTCTATTACAGACACAATTGTAACAAGGAAATTAAGATGCACTAATAGTATAATACATTATTCTCTTTATTAAAAGATTTAATTTAAGTAATATTTATAAGTTGGACCAGTAATTGTATTGTTTCTAATATCAAACTATTTTGTATTTTCAGTCAGAGACTGTAAGGAAAACAAATGTTGTGGCGGTAAATAGCAATGAAATCGAAGACCATGCATAAAGGAATGTAAAAAGTACGAGTACGTATGATAAAGATCAAGATGAAGAAAACGGGAGGCGACGACGGGACGGAAATAAAGCGGGAATACAACAAAAGGACAGTGATAGAGGAATTACGTGAGCCCTGATTAAGAACTTTGAATTGAAAATTTTTCATGAATTAGCTCTATGTGTATTCTAAAATTTATTTTGTAAATTATGAAATATTGATTTGATGTATATAAAATATTTTCACAGTGAATCATTAGTAATGTTTTCATTGAACATGTCCATGTATGCATTATGAAGGGAGATTGAATTGTGTTTTTTTTTTTAAACAGTCATAAAATAGGTTAATGTTAAGCATCACTTAACCATTTGCAAATGTTTCTATGTAATAACTATACGTTGGCCCAACAATTTGCCATCTGACATTGTAAAAAAAAGAGTCACCATTGAGTCAATCTAACCAACCAGTTGTTAAGGTTGGCTGTTAGTTGGCAAACACTAAAAACTACGTTGGCCCAACAATATGCCATCTGACATTTCAACACAGGGCCAACGTTGGGCCAACCTAACCAAAAAATTGTTAAGGTTGGCTGCTAGTTGGCATACACTAATAACTACGTTGGCCCAACAATATGCCATCTCACATTTCAACAAAGGGCCA